ATGCCTGCCTAGATGTTGTCCAAAAAGGTCCTTCGAGGATGCACTTGGTCAAAGACTCGATGACTCGATCATGTGTGACACGGGTGAAACTCGATCGCCATTCTCTTCACTGCTGGAAGCCAAGACCTTCTAGTTGTTCAAGGATGCTCTTGCATGCTTTTGCCATCTGTGCTGCATTCTGCTTCAACCACTGATGCAACCACTCCTGTTCGCGGTCGCCGGTATTCCATCCCCCTTGGTCAAAAATAACTCAAACGATGCGTGCAGCGAGTGGCAAGTAAGACATAACGAAACAATGATTTTCTTTCTTTCATCTACTTCATGCTGCCTTCATCTCTAAGTCTCGTCTCGATCACACACATTGTAAAGTTTATTGCGCAGAATCACTCCATTTTTCGACCCCCTTGAAAATGTACAATTTCAAGGGCGTCGAACTTAGATCCAACAAAAAACTTACTATACAAAGTATTAAAGGGTCCGGAAATAGGGTGATTATAACTTATAACTATTTGTTTTACCCCCCGTTGTATGTCTTTCAAAACACCTTTCAAGTATGTTTATACGCGAACCGGCAAACCAGCCTCATCAAGGACTTCTGCATCCTTTCTGCACCTGGAATGGATTCTGCAATTCCACTGTTAGTTGCAGAAAAATGCCCATCAATAATGAAACACACTGAGTGCATATTATGGGGACGCATCTTTTCTTCCTGACCAACGCATCACGCGGTGACGTTGCGGTTCTTCAGAATCTCTGCAGTGAGCGCCGTCAGGTTACCCAAGGTCTGATTGCTGATGAAGTTGGTGATGTTCGTAACCGCCTGGTTCGCTATGACATCAAGCTCCGTATTCAAGTCGTCCTGTTCCTCCTCACCCCAGTGTGATGGGCGGACACATTGGGTGATCAGTTTTGTCTTCACAAGTCACCGATCACCCAAAAGGATGCCCAAAAATTAGGCTCAGAACACACCAGAAAAGAATACAGACATGCACCCAACAAGGGCCAACAAACACATGACATGCAACCTATTGTTTGCTATCATCGCTTTGTTCATCCCTCACTTTTCTTGTCGGGAATGAGAAGGCTGTCTTTCGGTCTGCAACAACAAGGGAGGAGCTTCACGATGTCCGACCCCGGCATGGATCCAGTCCTTCTGAAAGCCAAGCTGGCGGTCAAGAAATGTTTTGATCACCGTTGCTGCCACCAAAACTCGCAGCAGCAGTGCTTGAATCATAGTTTTATTGAGAACAAAGCCTTTGACCACTGGGATGCCCCATCCCTGTCCATGGTTCACCTGCATCACACCGAGCATCACGCGCAGGAGGGGCAGTTTCTGACCCTTATAATATAAAGATCTGTGTTACGCTGCTTTCATGAAGGCAAACGAATCTAGTCACAAACCGAAATCGTCAACTTCAACTCTCCATCATCATAATCATCATCATCTCAACACCACGTTCAGCCACAGCGTCCACCGAATCGGTGTGTGCGTGTGTGTGTCTAGATAGGGAGACACCCTGCCATCAGTGGCGTCAGGGCCATACTTCCGAACCGAATCGACCCGGGGTCGTTGCCTGAGAGGTCTCCCTATACACACCCAACCCCCCCAACCCAACCTCTCACAGTAGTGTACAGTGTTTTTGCAAAAGACCCGGCACCTCTCTGAACATCGCCTCCACCGCCTTGATCTCGACGTGGCTGGATGGAGTGCGCATTCTTTCTTCATTGAGGCGAGTTTCCACTTCTTCAAGCCCAGATGAGAGAATCGTGAGTGGACAGGCAACCAGCAGAAAACCACCTGCAATCCAGGAAGCATGTTGGAAGAGGCTACACCAGTGCAGCAAGGACCCAAAGTCACTCTCCCGCGCCAGCATTTTCATCCATTGCTTGTGAAAATGAAAGGTTCCACCCAGCAGTGCGGGGAAACTCACCAAGACAATTGGCAATCCCCAGGGCGACAACTGTGCTGGTACTTCTTGCACCAGCTTGGCGCAAGGCTTTTGGATGCATCCCTCGAACAATGCACCGTTCGCAGGGAGCGTGTCCGTCACTTCAAGCATCTTCTGCCGGGCGGCGATGCACAGGCACGATACAGACAAGTTGATGATGAGCACGAGGGATGAATCGGGAATACCGGAAAAGCCTCTGATGAGCTTGCTGATGTTGCAGTCTCCAGAGAAAAGATCATTCATCAGAAAAGAAACTGCAGTCCTGCAAAGGGCAAACACACAAAAGGGAGGAAGAGCAACCATCTCAACGTGTATCAACTTCGTGGAGATGTCTTTGGGCAAAGGTTTGTTCAGAAACTGGTTCCCACCCATGGCGAGGCAGCCCAACGCAAGGCCCAGGTAAACTGTCTGGTCTCCAGCTATCTGGATCATCCCTCCAAATGTTAAAGAGCGCCATTCCAGCAAGGCTCTGGCTATTCTCCCCAAACAATGTCCGATTGCACTGCTTAGAATTGCAAAAAGCACAGGTCTGCTGGAAGCTTTGCTGTAAAGTCCGTTGCTCATGCTTTGGTATATCATCCATGGCAAACTTAACGTCAACAAACAGCCAACAAAGCCCGAAGGCATCGACATGCAATAGTGGACCCAAGCTACTGCTTGTTCCATCCTGGATGGTGTCATGACTGTGATTGATAGGGTCTGGTTGAATTCATCTGCCTTTTTGCGAGCTTCGGCCAAAGCGGCAAAGGTGTATTGTCTTTCCTGCACGTTGATAATATGCTGTCCTGCTTGCAGCCCAAGCACCTCTGCTGCTGTCCCTTGCTTCACGTTCACGATTTTGCCAGAGGAAGGCTCGACCACCCAACCAATGTAGCCAGTCGGCAATGTCACATTCTTCAAGCGTCCTTCTTGGTCTGACATCTCGTCCTTTGTCTCTGAGTCGGACATGGCCTCCGACTTGACTTCTTCGCTGGAAAGAGACTTCGGACCACCTTCGAGGTCGGGAAGAGCCCTGTCTTTGGCTGGCCGATAAGCGGCTGTGGACGAAAGGAAAGTGAGAAGAATCACTCCTTTGAGGAGCATGGCGGTCTTGCGGTCTTCCTTTGAGCAGGCCACTGCGACGCGGTTTCGATGGTTACACAAGGTACCCAAAGATTCGGTCCCAAGTCAACAAGGCC